AGACACCCACGTCTCTGACCATTCCCTCAGAATGACAAACGTCCTTCACGGCCCTTCTCAGTGAGGAGCCTCTGTGATTTCAACCAGGCAGGGAGAGCCCTAACCAGAAAGCCCACAGGACCCTGTTGCCCCACACAGGAACCCTAGCGACAACCCTTGTCTTCCCAGAGACATCTCTGCAACCAAATCCAGGTTTATCTAATGTTCTTCAGCTCACCTTCTTGTCTGACCGCTCCAGAACATTCCGGGTCCGGTCCTTGTCCCGTTGACGAACCCGCTCTGCAAAGGCATCCCGTTCCTCCAGGTCCTGAAGACGCTCGCGCTCCGTCCGCTCCCACTCATCCTCTGAGGCTGGCTTGTCCTCCGCGGGTGACTTACTCGCCCTGAACCCAGCCCAGCGCGTCAAAGAGGGGTATCTAGGAAGCTTATCCTCCCCGCAGCCAACCACCCGCTCCGATTCCCTCTCTCCTCGCTTCAGACTTACCCTGACTTTCCCTTTCCTACTTCGGAAACCTCTTCCTCTTCTTCTTCCTCCTCCCCGTGGTGTTTCTTCCTGAGGTGTTTCCGTCTTCTCCGCTTCTTTTGGAGACTGCTCGCATCCCTGCCCACTGCATCCTCATCGCTCTCGCTGTCTTCCAGCAACCTATACGATCGGTTCTTCTCCAGCAGGGCTCGGGCCTCTCGCTCAGCTGCCCGAGCTGGCTTTTCCACCACGGCCTTCCGTGGCACCTGCCAGGAGAAAACACGCTGGTGTGGCAGCTCCTGACTTTACCACTCTCGGTTGCCTTTATCTTTTGTTTGTTTGTTTGTCTTTGTTTTTAGAGACAGGGTTTCTCTGTAGCTTTGGAGCCTGTCCTGGAACTAGCTCTGTAGACCAGGCTGGCCTCGAACTCACAAAAATCCACCTGCCTCTGCCTCCTGAGTGCTGGGATTAAAGGCATGCACCACCACCGCCCAGCTCGATAGAGATTTTCTTATGAATCATTTATGCCTTCTCCCAGGAATGCTCATCAGATCCCCTTGGAGCTGTAATTACAGGTCGTTGTGTGCCACTAGAGCTGGCCGCTGGGTACTTAAGTCCTCTGGAAGAGCAGCAAGGGTTTTTTAACTGCTGAGCCATCTCTCCCAGCCTCCATCCTAACTTTTAATTGCTAATTCCCATAGCTCCGTTATCAGTGACTTTTTCCCAGGACTTGAGACTTAACCCAAGACTTACTGTATGCTAGGCAAGCACTCTACCACCTGAGAGACATCCTCAGCCCTGGAGTGTGTGGGTAACTAACAAAGACGTTCAGAGATCCCTCTCTCCCAAGTCTTCTCCACAGAGCAGTAAGCCCCGCACCTACCACAGTAGCTAGGTAACGGGGGGGGGGGGAGAAAGACAGGTGTTTGGCGGAGCCAGGAACGGTGGGTCTCTCTGAAAGTTCGAAGCCAGCTGTGTACTACATTTTCAAAGTTCCAGGCATCCCTAGAAGAGACAGCTAACACTCGGTCTCGAAACGCGTGAAGCGGTCCCCCTGAGCTGCGAGTGGCCCGCCCCGGCGGCACACACCTTGCTCCAGAGCCTCAGCGCGAAATCCCGCGCCGGCCCGCCCAGGTCCAGCGTTTCGGTGTCGCGCAGGCGCTGCACAAACTCCTCAGCCGAGGCGCAGCGCTGCGCAGTGCCGATCAGGAACTGCGCGACGTGCCGCTCGCTCAGCCCCAGCACCGAGTGCAGCTCCTCCTGCACCCATCGCTCCAGCCCCGCCGGCGTCGCCATGGCGACGCGTCCCGCTTCGGGCGCGCAGGCTGCAGAGCAGCCAGGACGGCGGCGGGGCCAGGAGAGATCTGCAGCGCCACGGACCCGCGCCGGCGGCCGTAGACAGTCCTAGTCCAGAGTGCCGGAATGGGTAGCCCCAAATTGGCTTCCAAAGACGCGAAACCCGGAAAGAGTCGAGCTCTTCCGGATCGAGCTTAACGGTGGCTGGGAGGGTTCAAATCGCGCAGGCTCTTTGCGGACACTCCGGGGACCAGGTTTTCAGACACAAGCCCTCTGTTGCCCCCTGATGGTCGGTGCGCAAATGCTGCTCTCAGTGAACACAAGGCCCTATGTAGGAGACTATCCCATCGCGTGGGATAAAAGGAATAGGAATAGGTAGGAATCAGGTTTAGGAAACAAGACATATAATAAGGTGCTGGGGGAAGAATGCTCGGAGAGCTCGAGTTCGATTCCCAGCGCCCACATTTCCTCGCAACCAACTACTTGTAACTCCAGCTCAAGGAGGATCCAACACCTCTGGCCTCTACTGACCCCTGCACTCGTGTGCACATACACACAAGCACATAATTAAAAATGTTAAAAATAATTTAAAGCTACTTAATAGCAATATATAAGTTGGGTAGGAGTTCTGATATCTTAATTTTAAAAAGTAAGGTGATTATATTATTTATGCACCACACGTGTGGAAGAGCCTTTTAGATCAGGGATATGGTGTTAGAGACGGTTGTGAGCTGCCTGATGTGGTTGCTGGGGACCAAAAGCAGGTCCTCTGAAGGAGCAGCAAGTGCTCTTAACCACTGAATCATCTCTCCCGCCCCTCTTTCTGATTTTTTTGTTTATGTATATATAAAAGTTTTACTTGCAAGTATGTATACCAGACAGAAGCCTGAAGAGGGCACTGGATCTCTTAAAACGGTGGTTACAGATGAGCCACCATGCAAGGAGTTGCTCTCAACTGCTGAGCCCTCTCTCCCCAGCCACGCCCCCTTTCTCTCCAGCCACGCCCCCTTAAGCAGGGTCTCAGGCAGCACCTGCTGGCTTTGTGTGTACTGCTCAGCTAAAGACAACCTCGAACTCTAAATCCTCCTGATCCCACTTCCTAAGTGTTGGGATTATAGACAGTATCACACTTGGATGAAATATGTAATTTCTATACAAATCAAAAGTAATGAAAGGTTGCTGGTAGTGATATTGGTGAAGAGTAGCCAGTGTCCTGAGCCATCTCTCCAGCTCCTATGATTTATTTTGTGAATTTTTTTTCGAGGCAAGGTTTCTCTGAGCATTTCTGGCTGTCTTG